CAGTAAAAAGCTTCAGAAAGAGCTACTCTCACGCTAAATATTGCTTTATTATTATTAGTTTTACCAGCTACTCCTAAATCATTTGCCATATGGCAAACTACTTATTCTACAGAACCCATAGTAGAGAAAAATTATTGTGGACAATAAAACTCCACTTGTATCTTCATAGTGATTGAGAAAACTAATTTTCAATTGGTATTGATAAGATGATGGACCTGGAAATGGATCCACAGTGACTGAGAGAATGAGGCAAACTGTCTAAACAAGGTTAAAATGCCAACATGGATGTATAAATGGTGAATGGAATGGGACGCAAATGAAAAACACCTTTCTTTAGCCTATAGACATTATCTGCACTAGGAACATTATTTTATTTATGCACATAATTTTGTTATATTGTCTTGATTGTCCTTGACCGTTTTGTATGACACCCCAAAGAAAATGACTTGTAAAAGTACTTAGCGATAAATAAACATTTCTGATTGTAATGGAGAGGCCAGTTCTAATGGTTGACTTAGTAGTAACGTGAGCAGGAGAGCAATTCAACTGATAATTAATTAGCTTTAGAACACGAAACGCTACTACGACTCCCATCAGAGGGCGCCCCCTTCGGTCTCGGGGGACTGGGGTCTGCCCCACCCCATTTATTACCAACTCCCAGCAGAGGGCGCCCCCTTCAGTCTCGGGGAACTGGGGTCTGCCCCACCCCATTTATTACCAACTCCCAGCAGAGGGCGCCCCCTTCGGTCTCGGGGGACTGGGGTCTGCCCCGCCCCATTTATTACCGTCTCCCATCAGAGGGCGCCCCCTTCGATCTCGGGGGACTGGGGTCTGCCTCGCCCCATTTATTACCGTCTCCCAGCAGAGAAGCCACAGCCCTGCTGAGACACCGGTTTTTAATTCCCGGCACCTCCTTCATCCACCGCGTCCTCCCACCCAAGAGCGCGATGAAGACTGAAGGAGCGATCCTACACCACTCGCTGGGGTTTTTGTGGTACAAAAAAAGCACCTCTGCGTTCACCCTTGTTTGACCACGGTCACTCTGCCAGACCTTGTCCCAGGGAGAAAACAGAGGCCCTGAGAAAATGGGGTCTGTTACCCCCAAACCACTGACTGCATGCCTTCAGGCTCCAAACATTCCCTCTCCATGGCTACACTGCCTGAATTTCACCGATTATATAAAAGTGCAGTTGGCCATATTAAAAGCCACAGCCTAATTTAAATTGTGCCTGCTTGTTTTTATGGAAAGCCGACTGTTGCACAAGTTACCATATTCAAATACGTTAAATGACACCAAGATGTTGCACAAATGTTGATTTCCATCACGCTGGGAATATATTCCATCTTATTTTTACCTGTAATTCAGTTATATATGTGAAAACAAAGACTGAAACCAAGGCATTTCAGCATTCCTCCACACTCCTGATTACTTCTCTTTTCTGAAGGGTTGGCTGCCATCATATTTAATCTCTTGCTACGTTCGCATTTCTCTAGGACACGGTGCATCTACAAAATAAGTTTAAAACCAGGTAAACTAAAGATAAAGGAGTATCTGATTAATGCAATTTATGCAGATAATAAAACCATGGAAACGGCAAAATAAAACAATTAAACAAAAGAAAAAGATGTCTATTATTCATTGCGTCGACCCGATCCTTGTAGCACATCGAGATGTTTATGGGCATAAAAACCTCAGATGTTTTGGTGATAAAATACTTATCAGACAAAACAGGGTATTGTATAGTACTGTATATTATTGTATCATATAGTATTGTATAGCATTGTATTACATATAGTACTGTATAGTATTACATGGTATAGTGTTGCATTTACAAGCGTAATCTTCTCTTCACTTATGATCTTAAAATATCTACATGTATACACACACACGCACACACACTTTATATATATATATATATATATATATATTGCATTTTTAGGTGAAATGTAAACTTCATAATATGAAGACAGACTAAAACGTTTAAGCTACTACTAAAATAAAACCATCATGAGATGTAAATATTCATTGAAATAAGACATTCACTCCAACCATTGCGGATTAGTTAGAGACAAGCACCTTAAGCAGATAAGAAGGACAGCAAATTGTAGGGGAGACAGCTAAACAAAGTACAGAAAGGAGTCTCAGCTCCAGGCTCCAATAAAAACAAGACTTTATTGCCAGACACAAAACAGGGTGTAAAGATGGTTTAAATGAATCCAGAAACACAAAGACACCATATTGTCACACAGTCATTTGCAGCTCCCAGTATCTGAAAGCCACCCAGCTGGTCACATTTATCCAGAGCCATAGTCAGCGGGGGCCCCCCGTCAGTGGGGGCCCCCCCAGTCAGAGCGTCGTCACAGGGCCGGTTATCCATTACATGGGCGCCAATGAACACACTTAAAGTGCAAAAACCACCATACGGGGACACCTGTGATCATAAATTAAACCAGCAGTGTGGAATATCTGCACTCTGACATTCAACCAAAGACCTCACACACATCCTTCAAAAGTCTATCGGTACAATTTTTTTTATTACAATGTACTCTCCAGACAGTAACGAATCATATCTAACAGTGGGGAAAAAATAATTCCTTTCTGAAAACGTTAGACATGTTAGACAGCATTTGTTTATCAGTAGGTTTTGGTTGAGATGATTGGTTGACTGCAGGGTGAAGATCGGAAGGTTTCTGGCCTATGGTGGATCTCCAGATCCCCGCATTACACCCCACGCGCCCTGTTCACCTAACCACCCACCCCGCACCCACCAAAAGTCAGAAGGTCCCTCCTCACTCTAATCTCATCGACAAAGACCTCCTCTTGTTCATCCCAACATCAAACCAACAACCACATGCACAAATATTGAACCCATCACCCAATTAATTAGTGCACAGGCACAGGCCTGCATGATTTTAATAGTCACACAAAGGAATGCAGGGACAGAAATGAATCACTTTCCTGAATTAATTCCCATTAACTACAATGGAATGTGGCATCAATTTTACAACCACACAAGACTCTTACATAAATCCCATAAAAGAGGTCCCTTAAAATAAATAAGGCCATGTGTTTTGTCAATTGATCCTTCATGTGTTATCGCTGAGAAACGATATGCACTGCTGTGTTTCTGCCAGCACGTCTCAGATTAAATCCACGGCAGCAAAAAGGGAAAAAAGTCTTTGGGGTCAGTCAACACATAGATCTGATTGTTTTGCTATTGTCTTTCAGAAGCAGCCACAGAACAACCAGAATTACTCTGTACTGCTGAGTAACCTCACCATAGGAAGGGAGAGGGCCTTGAGCCCAGACCCTATCAGGACAGGAAGTAATGGCTGGCCCACCCCAAACTCCCTCTCTGCCGCTGTGTCACTGGGGTTGTCCCAAGGGGGAGGAAGAGCTTTTTTGCTCAGAAGCTCAAATGCACTCAGGCACATAAAGCATGTTGTCAGTGAAATAAAACTGAAAAGAGAAGTATCATCTTTTGGCACATTTTCAGGCTCAGTACTGAGGGACAGTTTGATTCTTTAACTTAAATAAAGTTTAAATAATGTTTAAATAAAGTGTAAATAATTAGTTCAATCAATGGCTTTCATGCTTGGGAAGAATGAAATCACTTACACACTGTGGCTTTCAGAGGCAGAGAACTAAATACTGAAGTCCCACTCCAAATATTTGTTTTAAATTATGTCTAGGTAATAAGAAAACTCTGTTTGTTTTGTTTCAAAGCATTCAGTCATTAAAAAGTTATTTCTAAGCTTAATTTCAAGAAAACCGTGTTAATGGGAATGTGGCCTTGGACACTTGACTTTTGGCTCCTGTGAAATGGAGCCCCAACACCTTGCACAAGTCAGGTTAACTAGTTATATACCATCAGGAAAAATGCTACAGCCTTGGTACAGTTTTGTACGCTAAGGTACAAACAACATTAATGTACCCCCAATGGTAAAAATGTTTCTCGAAGTCCAGTTCTGTACCTTAAATGCACAGCTTTAGATTTCAGGTCCAGAGTGTACAAATCCAGACCAAGGTTTTGTTTCAACCAACCAGTTGAGTACTCTGTGACTTTGACTCTTTATGATCAACTGGTTGGTTGAAACAAAACCTTTGTACTCCCTGGACCTGAAATCTCCATCTCTGCTTAAATGGTACATTCACAGCTAGGGTACAACTGGCAGACTCTTGAGGGAACAGCCCAAGTGCCACGTTAATTGTACTGTCAAAGGTACAAATTGGTACTTCTTTCTGACAGTGTACACCCTTTGACAGAAAGAACACTAGTAATACCTGCTACTTGGACTGAAGTTCACCATGTCTTTACATGAACTTCATAGTATCAATCATTGACTTTTCCATTATCATGTAGAATATACTATAGGTTAGGAGGCAGTGTGCTCATTTGATCGATTAATATAACCAAGCCCAGATACATTAAGATAATGAATTCGAAATCTATCATTTGGATTAAACTTCACTAGCCAAATATATTACAATCAGGGTTGGTAGCATTGGCAAATGCTGCACTCTTAGAAAAAAGGGTAAAAATGTGTACCTTTGCTTGTCGATGGGGCTGTACCCTTGTAATTGTACCTTTAAAGGTACAGAAATGGAACATCCCAAAGGTACAAACAACATTAATGAACCATCAATTCTACAGAGATGTTCCTCAGAGTCAATTTCTGTACAATTATCTACAGCTAAGGGTACAATTGGCAGACCATTGAGGGTACAGCTCCAGTGACAAGCAAAGGTACATATTTTTCTGAAAGTGTGCATTAAATGGTGTGCCTTCAATTAACCAGACGCCCAAGCTGTCAGATATTGCTTCGGAATTTCGGACGCATGTTGGTAGAAAATGTTGCCGCAGGTAAATGAAAAAGTCCAAGTCCGACAAGTCCAAGTGTCATGTTACATTTTGGGATCTTTAAAGTTCGACAATTCTGTTACGCCCGTCTATATAAAACGCCTAGACTGTTAAAATGCGCGTTTAAAAAGTTTTTTTCTTTCTACAGTATTCCTATAGAGTTCTGGTACAAGCTGCGCATTAGATACCCAAATTCAGCAGCCAGAAATACAGGCACCCCCAGCAGTCTTCAGGTAGTGCACGCTGTTCGTCAAAGCTGCCTGATGCACATCACACACTCGTAAATAGGTGAGTTAATTCATGCGTGTTTATTGCATTGAATATTCATTTTATATACTTATTACTTTGGTGTTTCCACGCTCAGCTACTAAAAGCATACAGAAAGCAACATTTAGGCGGGGGGGGTGGGGGTCCAATTTATCATCACTGACCGCCAATATTTCGTTTACGTTTGGGTTTTAAAATATAGAAAACACCGTAACTTTACAGAGGTACATGTACTTGAAAAACTCGTAACTCTAACCATCCGCTTTCTTGTAGAAGTTTCAAATAAATAAAGCAGGCAGTAAATTTCATTAATTCCAAACCTACAACGATTAAAAGTATCTGAGAGGAAACACGACTGAAAATAATAATAACACACATGTTATCTGCTTACCTTGTCGGCAATAAAAATACGTTTCGTATATATTTGACTGAACTCCAAAGAGTCTTCTCTGCAGCGGAAAATTAATCTCCAAAAACAATTGCAATACCCCAAGTGTTAACCCACCAACTATCTACGGATTTATTTTTAAATAAACCACGAGTTTTATAGAATATGCTACGTCTCGGGGGGTTCGGTCAGTCTGTTACATCCATCAGGTGTGTATGCAGCATGTTTCGACCGGCGGTCTGCTGCTTACTGAGCTGGGAGCGGCTTTGCCTTTCATACTGAGCGGTGGCAGGAAACTGTCCTACAAGAAGGAAAAAACGCATAGAGACACTGGGACGTAGGCTTCATGAAATCGCATATACCCTTCCAGGGAGAACTTTTCTATATGGGCGTGAACAGGAGGCAGGACATTACTGAAGAAAGCGCTTTAGTCTGCTTTTCAAAGGGATTTGTCACGTTTGGCGATTTCGCTAATTGTGCGCGCAGTGACCAAACCTATTGTAATTTCAGGTTACAGAATATATTAACTTTCGAGAAACATCACGTTTTGTGCGTGGCATTTTGTCTGTATGTTTTTTTGCCCCCATACAGGCCTAGTTGAATGGCACCCAGTAAATAAAAGCATTCATAATTCATTGCTTGTCCGAAGTTGCACCGTGTGGCTGCTGACGTGATTTATTAAGAAACGTGCTGTTGTGTTATGGTTTCTGTTGACACGTATCCGGCGCGGTGTTTCTCTTCCTTTTTCCTAGTGGTTTTTAAGGATCCCTTCCTTTCAGGCTTCCTACTGCGAGTATATATTTCCTTTACATTCTTGTTTTTTTAAAACAAGAATATATAGGGCCGCAACGTTGGTGATCAGACAGAACTAAATCACGACCATTGGTTGACCAACTCCTGTCCTATCAAAATACGTGTAAAAGTAATCGTGTTGTAAAAATAGTAATAAGGTTGGGTGAAGATGTCACGTACTTGACTGATGATGGGACTTTTCAGAGCTGATGTGAGTAACAGCAATAACGGGGGGGGGATACTTTATTCTCTTGTGGGCTGGAGTTTACGGTTTCCTGGTCGGCAGTAAGCTGGCAGAGATAAGGGCAGCTTTCGATGGCTGCAGTTACTGATAAACGGTATGCGACGTCTGTCAACAATGATCATCCTTCTAGCAAGGAAGCCAGAAGCTCTGGAATGAAACAGTCTTTCCTTATGATCTGGATCCGCCAGCTGTTTGCACTAGGAGAAGCAATCAAGAATGCAATTTATTCACAAAGGAAAAAATTATACTGTATATTAACTGAAAATAAACAGATGGTAATTCTTACGATCCGATTTTAGGGCATTTATTTACAGTAATCTGATGTTTTTATGACTCGCAGGATCCTGAACCTAATGCCTATAAGCCTCGATCATGTCCTGGGCGTTGGTGTTGGGTGCCCCCTTGTGGTGGGAGTGAGCACTCCGAGTCGTCTATGTTACTCGGCATCTGGGCCGATTGTGCTCACGTCGAGAGGTTGGAAAACGGTTGGTTGAAAATTAATGTTTAAACTCTTTTACTAGTGCAGAATTAACAATCTAATATGTATGAAGTAACTTTAATTTCTCCAGTTATCTCCTGATAGGTTTCTGGTACATCGGTTAATATATTTTTCTTAATAAGTGTAATTTCTTGACATACTGTATATAGGCTACTCCTTGACATAATAACGTTGATGTTACATGTAGTCATTTCATAGAGGGTGTTTTTGCTTAAATAATTGAAATGTAGGCTGTATAGGTTTTTGTTGATTTGCCTTTTTTTGGTTTGTTTTCAGCTAAAAAAAAAAACACTTTCTATACAAAAGCACAAGATGGGGAGTTTTATTTGCACCTACCTTAAACTGCATCAAGATGATTTGCCCTGCGGTCTCGATAAGGGTTTCCTCCTTCAGCCATGCTGAGAGTGCATACAACTCACAGCCTTTTTGTGAACTCGGATTAGACAGAGCAGCCCCAAGACGCCCCGTCAGCTCAGTCCCTGACAGACCGTTTGTATGCAAACTGCCAGCTTGGCTTAACTGCACTCTTTGTTTTCTAATATAAATTATTTTGTAATTGTGAGAAAGCCACCCCCATCCCCCTTATGACGTGTGTGTGTGTATTTGGCGGGGGGGGGGGGTCGTGACCGCTGGCCCTGCAACAAATAGCGTAGCACTTACATTCTCACAAGTGCATACACAATGTGTGTGTGCGTATATGAATTCTTTTGGCTATAAAGACAATTTTTCCTTTCTATGCTGATTTACCTTTCATCTGGCAAGTGCTTCTATCAGTGTGGACAAAGCTTGGGGTGAACATAAAGAGGAGCAAAATCCACGTCTGGAACCGACTGGACAACATGCATCTGCTTATCTGTCATCAACAAAAGTCGGTTTACATCAAATTAATGAAGATGGCTATCAACAGGCAAATAAGTAGCTTTTTGTGATTTGCATCAACATAATTCAGCATTAAGCAGCTTGTTTTCACATGTTTAATTCTCTCACAAAAAAAAAATCATTTAAATCAGCCCAGCAAAAGGAAAAAAGTGCATTGCAGCCGGTTTCTGACGAGCAGACAGCTTGATGGGGGACCATCCCACGTGACGTCCGTAGCTCCCACACGCCTAGGTCAGCTGAAGGACGCAGTCGGTGCCCAAGTACGGCGGCAGATTCAGCTGGTACTTCTTCTCCAGGGCCGCTGGCACGAAGCGACCCCCCAGGAAGTGGTAGCGGCCACGGAAGTGAGTCGCCGCCTTCTTGGGAGCCGTGAGAGAGATGAGCAGGTCTGGCTGCAGTCCATCTGGGCTTCCTTTCTCCACATCCCAACCTAGAGGTCAGGAAATGGAGAGAGAACAGGATGGAGGCTATGGAAAGAAATGACTCTTGAACTGGTTTGTGAACCCAAGTCACACTGGGCGAAGGAAGTGAAGTAAGGCAGCCATGGGAATAACAGCGATTAGACTGTAAAAACGAAGCCGCAATGCTCCTCATGGCCATAACAGAAACCCTACATCTCCCGCCCACCTGAGGGGATATCGACACTGGCGATGGGCACTGTGATTTTCCTCAGCGTGGCCAGGATAGAGTTGAAAGGCTCCCGAACGGCGCCCTGGAAACTGAAGCCGAAGATGGCATCGACCACCAGGTTGTAGGCCTCGTCGATCATTTCCGCCTTGGCAAACAGGAAACGAGACATGTACCGTGGATTTGGCACAAGTGCTTGTAGATCAGTATGCATGTTGCATGGTTGCTGTACCCAGGTACCTCACTGGGCATCTCAGAGAGGAAGGGAATGTCCATCTTCTCACACTGGACCACCAGGTTCTGGAAGAGGGGCTTGTTGGGCCGCTTGGGGTAGATTATACTGGGCTCATAACCCTGCAGTGGGACAGATGCATGGGTCTCGTCATTTCCACCAACCCAGTGCTCAGGGACCCACAGGCGGTCTGTGTTTTTGCTCCCTCCAAGCTCCCGGTAGACAGCAAAAATGTGGACTGTCTGGGAGGGAGCAAAAATGTGGACTGTCTGGGAGGGAGCAAAAATGTGGACTGTCTGGGAGGGAGCAAAAATGTGGACTGTCTGAAGGTCCCTGAGGACCAGGTTGGGAAACAGATTCACACAGCATAACTTAACTGACACTAACTGCACACTGCAATCTCCAGTGCTGTACATGCTGCAGAAAGAATAAGTGAATGGATTCAGAAAAAAATATAAAACAAATCCATGTAAGATCTGAATTATTTAAAACACCTCAATTATATACAACAGAGTTAAATAAAAATAAAAATTAAGCATGTCATGTTCTAGGATGCATTTTAAATAGCTAAATTACTTTGGAAATGAGCTGTGCAATTGTGCTTCCTTTGGAATTATTGTACATGACAAAACTGGCATCTCCTTTAAAACAGTATGAGTGAGCGAGAGAGACACACACACATTTGTATTCATATCTCTGTGGGGACTCACCATTCATTTCTATGGGAAAAACCCTAATCCAAACTATGACAGCCTTCACCATTACCCAACCCTAACCGTAACGATAAGTAACCAAACAAGATACAGGACTTTTGGCATTTTTCAGTTTTTATAAAATTCAGTTTCCTGTTGTGGGGACTGATGTAATGGTCCCCACAATGTCAAAATAGCAGGTGTTTAATCACTTTGTGGGGGCATTGGTGTGTGTGTGTGTGTGTGTGTGTGTGTGTGTATATATATATATATATATATAGAACCCCCCACCACCACCACACACACATGCGCACACTGAAATGAGCCTAACCAGCAATAAAACATGGAGCACCCAAAAAGCACCGCGCACAGACAGGCGCGCAGACAGGCACACAATACAAGTGCTGGTGCTTATAAGCAGACGCTTGAAATGAAGACTCACTCACAAAAAGCTTGAGGTGGCGGGCGCAGACCAGGCCGTCTCCCCCATTGTTGCCAGGACCACACACAACGAGCACTGAAGGCTTGGGCTTGACCAGGGAGTCCAGTGGGTAGGTCTAGGGGAAGCAGGAGACGGCACACACACACACACACACACACATCACAATGCTTTCAACTCCATAAGCATGCAGCCATTGTTTCCATTTATGGGCATTTTGTTTGACTATATAAACAAAAACACAGAGGGGCATCTTTTACCCGGGCAACAGCTGTGGCACAGCTGAGCCCAGCCAGCTCCATCAGCTGGTCCACACTGAACTGGTACTCAGTGAAGAGCTCCTCATCGATGCGCTGGGCTTCCTCCTGGCTTCACGTGTAAATACACACGCACGCGTACACACATAGGGGATCACACATCAATGCTAACAATATACACAGAATTAATATGCATTGCAGAATTTATTAAACATGGTGGTAGGACCAGACACAGAGAGGTAGATGTTTAGACTCACCCAAGGTATTTAATCGGCTGGGCCATGGACAACAGGCGTCTCGGGCACTCCAGATGGGGAGGAGTACTCCCACCAAGTAAGGGACAGGATGCCCTTTGAGAGAGAACTCTGGCTCCTTGTGACGTCACCAAGACCCCAATCCCAACCAGAGCCCGCAGCCCCAACATACAGAGGGCGCTCTCTCACACTCCTAAGCATTTCGGATCATTTCATTAGTTCATGAAGATTTATCATGACAGGACTTTGTGCAGTTAATGTAATTAATGCTATAAGGGTATAAGGAATAAACGAACAGCAATATATGTGCAAAGAGAGAGAGCTTGGGATTGACGCGTTTTAGTAAAAACCGGTACAAACATAGCGAGACACATTGTTCAGTAATGTAATGGAGTAAATCACCCAGACTGCGCTGTATAACAGGGGTCCTTTGTCGGTGAGTTGCAGAAACGCAATAACTTTGTTACATTCACGCAGACAGAAGGAGTAGATCGATACGTCAGTACTTGCATCGGTATTGACTTTAAAATTTATCGCATATCTCTAATTTCAGTGCAAGTAGCATTAAAGAGCATTAAAGATTAAATCCATATAAACGTAAATTAAAAAGTATATTATTTAATGAAGTTGTTATCTCGATATAATCTTAGAATGAAGACATAAGTTTAAAATAGTTAGGATAATGCTGACAGGTGTTAAATTACCAAACTAAGAACACCTGAGTTTAATGCATTCTTCATAACTTTAGATTTGGCTATTAGCACCCTGACTTGTCAGTTAGCTATACTTGCTATTTGGGCATATTTCAAAGAGACACTTACCTAACTGCTAATCAGTAATTACTACCAAACGTTCGTTGTGCAGTATCTTCCAGTGTGCAAGAAACGATAAAACAGAACAAACCTAACCTTAAAAACAATGTATACAGAGCAACTCGTCTACTTGCTTTTACGCATTCCTAGTTATTGACATGAATAAGGCCTCTCCAAACTGAATACCGCCACCTAGTGTGCGGGATGATGAAAATAACGAGGCCCGAACCAATATCAGAAAGCTCTACCGGTAAAAGGCTTAAAAAGTCCAGTTACTCCGGAGACAAACGTTATTAAATGGATACGTCATATCTTCAGTGAGCAAAAGAACAAACATAATTTCATCAAGTGCAAATTGTTAAAGTTTATATGCACATATATGAATGAGTGTAAATTATGGGGGGATGGGGAGATTGTACCCCCCCCCCCCCCCCAATAATCAAAACCAGCCAATACACCCCCCGGACCTCCTTAAATGGGTACAAACCTCAACCCCCCGACCCAGTGCTCAACCCAATGTTATGCCTTTCGCATATATGTGTATATGTGTAAACTTTTACACCAATCAGCCATAACATTAAAACCACTGACCGGTACAGTGAATAACATTGACTCTCATTACAATAACACCTATCAAGGGTGTAAACCGGTGATCCTCCGATGGGGTCCTGGGGGCCCAAGGCTCATTAATGCATGTGAGGAGTAACACGCAGGATACGATTTTCATTGTATGGTGTGACTGATAATTAACGCACATATGACAAACTTTTTAATCTCTTCTGTGCTTTTTATGTGTGACCGATTCTACCGGTTCATACTAGTTAGTCGCTCAAAGGAGCTTTTACCTGGAGGGTTGATCCACGATTCACAAAGCCTCTTTCTACCTGCGTGGGTGAGATTTTACCCTGGTGATTTGTATGGGTGAGTATTATGATGATTGTGCTGTCGGCATCTTTGAGGGATTTCACCATGGGCATTATAACCTACTGCTGGTGATGTGATTAGGGTAACGGTCTGTTATACTGTTCACATCAACTGTGGAGCGTTCACCAACTCATAGCAGTACATTTTTTATAAATAGTTTGGGTTAAAGCATCATTAAAAACAATTGGCTGGCAACTAGCCTAACTCTCAATGATAAAATGAGCCACTTTCAAAATAAGTGCTGTGAATGCAGACTCATGCTTCAGCTGAATATACACTGACTGTGTTCAGCGTAACTGCAGTTTGCTTTTAACAAAGGACAGAAAGCTGTGAGATTCAGTTTAAATTTATTTCATGTTACAGTACCATACACATTCATAAACTGGCAGAATAAAGTTCACACAAAAAGCATACTGTGAAAATCCAAATGACTTTAACCATTGTTTTTAGTTTTGCTTCAACCCAAGTTTAATTCTCTAAACTATATTTACTCAAAATGGAATACAAATTTTGAATACATACCTCTACGTCTTCACAAAATGTGTAGGTAATATCATTATCAAAACAAATCACTCATTCAAACTCGTTAGCTAAAAAGCCCACAAACAACCAGAGAGGAAAAACCCCACAACCATAAACCTGACTTGTCAATTTAATCGCCAAGCGTGTTTTCTTAGGTCTTGCAGTGGGACCCGTGTCAAAGAGCCAGTCAGGCCCAACAGCTGAACCGGGCTCGTTTTATGAACCCCCAGAGCTCCCTCCTGTGGACACGTGGTGTAATGACCAGGGACAACACTTTGAAAGCAATTTACTATTTACCTCGATCAAGAAATTCTTTTACAGTTCAGTTTGCATAGGTAAACAATCAACGACATTTAAGGAAACATTTCTCAAATGACAAAAGACAAAAAAATCCATCCTTCATTTTAGGTCAAGTTGTCTATTTAATATATAAAATACAGTAAAACATACGCAAAAGGGTAAGGTATCAAGGGACAAATGGATACTTTGGTACAATAACAAACACTTTTTGTAAAAGCAGTATAGAATTTTAATAACATGTCAGTGCATACTTTGTTTATGAAAATATACACAAGTTGTATATCATTCTCCAAAAACAACAGAAAAAAACATTTAAAATTTTCTTTACAACAAAACTCAAAGCAAACTAGCCAAACACAATATATTAACTATAATTTCTTCTTTTAAACTTTTTTTCTTCAGCTACATTTTCTCTTGAGGTTTACATTTTTATTAATACATTTGTTTACTTTTAAATGCATGTAGCTTTATTATGTTTGAATACCATGCACTTTATATTACTGACGTCGTCTTTGTGTTCCATGGCCAGAAATTAAAAAATGTATTGTCCCAAGTTTCAAAAAATGCATTTCCAACCGAAAATTTCAGCATTTAACATTTTGAAAATTTAACTTCTGTTAGGTAACATGTTGCTTTCATTCATTGCTTTAACTAATATTACTATAATCACTTTATTATTAAACCGTGCAATTTTAACACCCCTTTGAATAAAAACAAAATCAAAAGAAACAAAATATGTATTTATAATATATATATTTATATATAAAATAAAACCAAAATCAAGATGGCTACCCTACACAAAACGACAGAAAAAGTAACAATGATATTATTATGATTATTATTTACTACTACTGCTTTGTTAAAATGTAATAATAATAATCATAATAACAACAATAATAATAATAATAATAAATGACAATAGAACTGGCACCAGCACAAAGTAACACTAGAAAAACGAGTGAGAGTTTAAAAACATCATTATACACTGGAAAGGGGTGCATGTTTTTCCTTTTTTCCCAAGATTGTCTTTCGATACCATAAATTTGTTTCCTTATATAGTTCTGTCAGAGAACCATGTTGACGTTTTCAATGACCAGGACCCGCGAGTGTCAGCGGCGAGAAGCGTGGCGGCAGGTCGATGTGGCCGGTTCACGTCTGTCTGGTGTCCCACCGGGGGCCTTCAGAGAGAGTGGATCGCTTCCACTGAAGACTGGGATGTGTGGCCGGTTAGCAACTCAGGGCACGGGCGTGCGGATGCACCTGGGAGGCGTGTCTTCGGCTTCTGTTAGCAAGATGTGCTAATGCTATCACGTGCCGTTACCGTTCATGACACCCAAAGACCTCGCCGTTACGGATCAGGCGGAGGCCAAAGGCGTGCGATCACGTATCTGCCGACGGCTCAACATGTCATACACGCGGTCGCGATCCCGTCTTCCGTCAGAAGACCTGCTCGCTAATAACCGGCGTCTCCCTCAGCCTCCGCCCACCCCTCCGGATCTTCAAAACTAGCCGGGGGGCGCTAACCGAGCGAGAGCCCACGTGACAGCGAGAGGCGCCAAGCGGCTGCCGGCTGATCAGGGAAAGATCCAAACTGCTGACGTGGCAGGCGGGTAGTGGTACAAGAAAGTAACACTGGCCGTAACTGGTCGATTGTTTAAGAATTGCTTAGGGGGTAAAGGTGTGGTGTGAAACGGGGGACTGAATTCCTGGGGGAGAGTGCCTTTTCGTTTTAATCAGCTTTGGGAAAAGACCCACCCCGTCCAAAGAAACAACAGGGGGACGGGGGAAAGTGTCTAGGAAGTGTCCTCAGTATTTAATCCCCCTGACGGACGGAGGAGACGCAGCATACAGAGCAGGTAAGGGAGGCTTATCCAGCATCTCAGGTATTCAAGTTTCCCAACGAAACGAATTATTATTAAAAATGCAGAATGAACAGGGGAGAGCGACCAATATGAGCCACGGGATATGATGTCATCAGTCAGAGGCTGCCGAAAATGGGGGGGGGGAGGTTCCCTCGAAACATGATCTTAATGCCACAAAAAAACCATGTATGACCAACGGCACCGATTCTTCCCCGGAAATGACGTCACCCACGATATCAAAGCGTATATCAAAACGAAGGGGGGGGGGGAGAATCTAAGAATTTTCCAAAGGTCACACGGTGAGGCGTTAGGCAATGCATGCATTAATAACAGACATCGCTAGTCTACAGTCTGGAGTATGCGGTTGGTGTATATAGACCATGAAGTGAGTAAGGAGAGACTCGCCCAAAGAGAGGACGGTTTCAGAGCACGTTACAGCATCACATGGGTTCCACCATAAGAACGAGAGACAGAGCTGAGAAGCAGCAAGGCATTGCTTGTTCATATCGAAACGCCTCCTCTAAGAAGTGTATCCCTGAAGAAAACCCGTCGTCATCATGGAGATCTCCATCTTCTCTCGCCTTCTGCGGATGCACTGCCAGCGGGTTACCGTCCTGACACCGGGGGATGCTGCAAGGGGGGGGGGGGGGGGGACTCCTTTGGCCCCTCCCCCATCCTGGCAACAGCTGCCCATTGGAGGAGGGGGGAGGGGTGCGGCAGTAACGACCTCCTCCGTGGGACCACTGGACACGAAAGGGGAACGGGGGGGGGGGGGGGGGCCCGATGCTGGACGGACCCACAGGAGCCTTCGGCTGACAGCCGTGCTTCTCCTGTGAGCGGTGCAGGATTTAAAGTGCATGCTGTGAGTAACCATCAAAGAGAGACCCCCAAAGCTACTGCAATTACAGCCTTCTTCAGTACACCAGCCTGCGATACACAACATCTACATATACATAAATATACAGACAGATCCACTGAGAATCAACATGTCGCTCGCCTTGAGGGATATCCAGCAAAATATATGTGAATATATTCATATGTACACCATCCCTTCAGTCATTCGTCTCTCGCACGTCAAATTCTGTACGATCCGAGCTGTGGGCGGGTGGAGTCCCCTATCCGTGTGTACGCGAGCTCGGGTTGGCCGTACGGGAACGTCGAAAATGTCGCGTGTTCGCAAGTTGTATTCCTTTATAAAACGTCATTCCAAAGTTTGTCTTTAAAAAAAGAAACCTGTTACGAATACTTTGATTAAGCTGACAGATATTCCCCTGATATAGGCAGCCAGAGGGGCAGAAAGACCAGCTGAATAAATGCATTGCAGCAGACGTGCGGGATAATGGCGTCGTCGTGTCAGTGTTGCGCCCGATTGGCCCCCATCCTCCGATGGATTACGGAAAGTCTAGCCCCATCCGGTGGCCATGTCTGCTTTTAGAGTCTGACCGTGTGCAGCCTGGAGCCTGAATGGAGCTGGAATTCACTCAGAACAAAAGTGAACATCACTGAAACACACCATGAGAAAATAAACAAATGAAACCAGACAAACTGCAGTATGAGAACGTGAAAATGCGTCATAGGGCAG